CTTAAATTTCGATAATGACTATAATAATGATGTCTGAAATGAAACATATCGCCATATGTGCATATATATAGTATATATTGCATTTGCCAACTTTAGCTGATAGATGGTGTCGCGTGTTCAGCGCAACGAATCCCCACGGCCGTTAATTTCGGTTTTCTAGACCGGAGCCGCTATTTCCTTGAAATAGCTCCTGAGTTATCTTCACAAGGCTTAGTGGACCCCTTTCCAGACCCATTACTCAGAAAATCTGGTAGCGCCGAAATCGAACCCGGACCTCTGAATCTGTAGCCAGGAACTCTGACCACTAGACCACAGGAGTGGTCTCGCCGACAAGCGGCGGTCGCTTGGTCGGTATAGTTCGCTTGCGGACTAAAACCACGGAGTTTTTTATATATTGCATTTTAATGCAATGAACTATAAAGTAATTTACGGAAGGTTGGAGTGTTCAGACGTAGTCTACAAAATACAGCATTTACTTTACATGCAGTTAGTCCACTTATGGTCATGAACCAGATAAATTACATGATTGAAGTGTAGTATGATCAGGAGTTTCTGTAGAGTCCCTGAAATGTTGATGTGGCGGTAGATACGTATTCAGCACTTACCCGGTTCATTTTCAAGCGAAGTACCGGGAAAATCAACAGAGATTTAGGTTTTCCTCATTATCTCCGCAAAATGATGGAATAGGACCTAAACTGGCTGCTACCAACCCTTCCAAAACCCGTACAAACTCACAACCCATGATCATTTTCTTATCATTTTCGAAACCGAAGCATTTATGCAGTCTAAACTGAATATTAGTATAGGCTTATTATGATTTAATTATTACGAATATAACATACCAGCTTATTCGCATGATCTTAACACCTTCGATATTAAAATGTCTTAATTCCTGCTATGAACAGTTAGAAACCTGACTAATATTAGTCCCTCTAAGTAGTCAAATCTTCTGTCACTATTTTTTGAAGTAGATTTCTGAGATGTTCTGAAATGATAGAGAAATAATACACTTAAAATTTATAAAAGTGAACTAATATTGTCAAGCAATACTAAGAAGACACGGGGTTTGGATTGGCAATTGGATTTATTGAAAACTTAAAAACAGTATCAACAAGTGATTGTACGTAAAGTTCTTACTAATTCGCTCATTTTATTTCTCACTACAGCACACGTTAAATCTTCTATGTTTTTATTAGCTGTTGCCTGGTAACGGATGTCAACAGTGTGCTCTGCTTACGTCCTTATATATTGACCACTTTCTCACTTTCTTTATCGGCCGTTTCTTAACATCGGTTCCTTTTAGTAGCGTCGTCGCCCGTTTACTCTGCAGTAACCTAGCAACGGCTGTCTCTTTCAATCATGTCACAATATCTTTATCGTCGCTTCTTTGCAACTTAATTTCTCATATGGAATTATAGCCAATCATGTTACTTTGTTGCAAGAGATCGACAGGTCTGTAAGTCTGTAGTAAATACCAAGAAAGTTCTCTAAAATCATTCAGGCACTCTTTTAGTATAAGAATGGTTGATACAATTTAGTATAGTCTAGGAGTGAAACAGTTATCAGAATACAGAATTTCCATTTAGGAACTTGGCTATTTGGCGTCCATCCCTGTTTTTAATACATATTCATTTATTGCAGATATTAACATATTTGCATTCAGTCCAAACTTTTGCCTACTCCAAAAAAAAACCTGATGATAGCCGTTTGAGGCCGAAATATATGGTAAGAAGGAGAAATAAAAGTGAAAATAGTTGCGTTGAGGACTGAATATATTATGCGTGAAAGTTAAATTTCGTAATCATAATTTAGTGCATTTTCACGTATGAAATTTAATTCTGTATTCTGAAATTAATTTCTGAGATTGAAAGAGACAGACATAATTTCCGCAGTATGTTACCATTAATAATCATTGCTATGAGAAAAGAATGAAAACTGTATTTAAATTAAACCCAGAATGACTTTTACCCCTTGCTAATATTAAAGGTTGCATTGCAGGATTGTGCACGAGCGTATGTGAGTATTTAATACTTCCTGAAAATAGACAAATGTGCAATTTATTCAGTGTTATTTTGCTGCCAGCACCTTTGTCACTAAATTCATAAAGACGACGATATCCATGATAATTAATAAGAGTCTTACAAAAAAACACAGCGTTCCACAAACACAACAGAAAAACATTCAGGAACACTCTTTTCGAAAACGACAAGGCGGCGCACATTCGGCCCCCATCAGTAGAAATAATAAGAGGGACGACACGAACCAGCTTGGTTTACGAATTCCAATAGAGTCTTAACACGCCAATCATAAATGTTTTAACGTATTGGAACAGCCCAATTGTATATTATTAACATATCCATAGAGTCTGTATTTTATGAAGAGCATATACTAAAAGTTAGCCACAAATAAGTACAGCCCTTAGCCCATCGCCTTTCTTCTACCACTTTTTTGAAAAAAATAATGTACTGAAATGAATTATTGTCCTGGAAAAACCAAACATCGAGACGCCATATTAACAGAGAAGTTAGAATAAGTGTTCCATAATATGATTGTCTTATACATTTATGTAATAAACACAATAGCCACAATGAAAGTAATGAACTTCAGAGCCCATCTCAGTGTTGTTTGCTTCTACAGTTTTGCACTCGTTTTGTGAACACTCTGACATCCCACCGAATGAAAGGACATGTGGCTACCTGAAATTTTCCATTCATCGTCATTAAACCTCATACAGTTCTTGGGTCGGAAAAGTTTGTTGAGACACTATGCTACAAATCGGTTGGTCTCGGTTTCGATGCAACTTTATTTGGTAAGCAAGTGGGTGGAGTCTAATAGGTAAACCTAAGTTTAGATGAGAGGATAAAACTGTAACCGTCCTCCTTGGGTCCTACGTTGTGCTCCCCTTTATCACCGTTCTCCCTCTTCTCGTGGATGTAGAGAAGTTAGGTGGGAAGAGAGGAGAATTGTGGTCGTTGGAGCTGGTAGGCGAGAGCTCGCTTCCTGTACACCCTTAGGTGTCTCGCGAGTAGGTAAAGACGGGAGTATCTGGGTTCTGTTCGGTAATTGGTAGAGCTGAGTTCATATCCCGGGTCTTATACGGGTCTGGCTCGGGCAGGGCAGGAAGAATCTTCACTACAATCACACACACCTCTTTAGACCGTTGCACTTAGTAATCATATAATTCCCTCCAGCTCACTGAATACGAATGAATCTATTAGTAGCACTTGTTTAGAACTTTACTTATAATATTTTTACGGAAGGGCCGTATTTGTAAATTTTGTGTCCTACTTTGCCGAAAGTTGTATGAAGACTCCTCGTAGTGGAATGCACTCTCACTGAATCCTGAGGTCCATGAACCCCAGACTCCAAGAGAAATCTACTCCTCCACTTCTGCCACTGGTTAAGTTTTCAAACTAGGAGGTTCCCTAAATTTTGAATTTCCAGTCATGTTGCTTTGCTATGTGATTCTGGCAGATGCTGACCTGACGCTAAGGTTGACAGCCCTTTGATGCATTACGACCATGGGATGAGGCTCCGGTCGTCTCACTTTTAAGTTATAGCTGTCCCAAGCTGTCAGCCCTCAAATTCTCAAAGACTTTCCGACTTTGCTGAAAATGCCAGAATTCCAGGAAAGTACCAGATGTTACTTCCTGTCCACATAGCAAAACTTGAACTATGTCCCTTCTGCGTGTAAGAGTTAGCTATCTGCCGGATCTCTTGGTATTTACTTGACATTAACTTAATGTAGGTATAATTAATACACAATAGTCCACCAATTAGAATGAACGGTTACAAAACTGAAAGTAAGTTATGAGTGTGTGGAGTGGATTCAAATTTATCTCATTAAAGAGGTCTTCCAAAAAGGTCAGGGAATTCCGCGTCTAACCGGGCCAGTATCGATTACCCTAGAATCAGCCTGTTTCAATAGATAGTTGATTAGTTAGTTGTTTTTCTTAAGGCCACTCCTTTCTAAGGGTCAGAATGAACTTATACTTCTCACGTCAGAAGATTAGACCTGGAAAATGCATCAGAAAAAACTTTAAACGGTTTGAGATTTTCACGGCGGTTACTATGAAGAATGCCGTCTTCTGGGTTGTGGTGCCGTGCAGATATTGTGTGAACCTATGTTTCGGAAGAACATGGTAGAAAAATCCGCAAGCGATGAGTCAGCGGGAGGAGGTACTATAATTAACTTCGCTACTCGACATCCTGATGGCCCACCAACAGACCTGACTAACAGAAAGTCATATCTTCTGGAATACATAGCGATGCAGTCGGTTGAACTCATTACGCGGCGTTCTATCCCAGGAGACAGGACTCTTCAAGGCTACCGCTGTAATAACCTCAAATCCTACACAGAATTACTAATGTTCCTGTGTTTTCTGTCACTCCCCCAGTGTCGAAACAGGCCTGTAGATTAGGTCATACGTCATAAGTTCTAAAATATTAATTGTCCTCAAAATTCCAGTCGATGACGCAAGAGCGCTGAAATTAATACAACTACCTGACCATGTCATTGATGTTTGGTATGTGTATGTGTTTATTCTGTTTGATTTTCCCTTAGTTTATATAGAGGCCTTGCGGCCGGCTGATCACTCATCCAAGGAATTCTACCGTCTGTAAAATAATAATGAAACTGAAAATCAGAGGTCAGGGCCCAAGGGGGCTGTAGAGCCATAAAGAAATCTAACTAACTCCATGGAGCAGAGTTCTTCTCGAGAATTTAGTAGTCACTTAATTTATCGAGAATTTGTATATCTTCTACAGAACCCAAAGCTTGTCATCTCGTTCCCAAGAGCTCGACAGAGATTGCTCTCGTGAGCCAGATGAATCCAATAGACCCACTCAATCATAATTCGACAACACTTAATATAATATTCTGAAATAAAGAAGTATTCAGTCCCCCATCAGATATATTATTACGTGTATGATTAAAATAGAAGAATTCAGACTGAAGGAAACAAAATTTATTGCGTTCCACAAAAAAACAAACAAACAAACAACAGATCAACCAGTATCATTTAATCCCACAAGAATTATATCAATTTCGAATAATGTATATCAAGATATGTGACATTAATATGCAGTAATTATTTGTCTCCTATATTAGGGTCCATGACAGGTATATTTGATTTTAACATTCTGAACTCACGTGTTCTCTTTGGGGAACGGGTGCGTTCATTTCCAAGCTTCTTTGATCATGTCTGACGCCTTCTCCGCTATCATTATTACTGGAGCATTAGTGTTCGAGTTTCCTAATGTGGGAATAATGGATGCGTCAATAACACGCAAGTGCTGAACCCCACGCACCCTTAACTGAGCGTCCAAAACAGCTGTTGGGTCACTGTCAGGACCCATCTTACAAGTTCCACTGAAATGGTGAAGCGTCAAGGTGTAGTTCCTTGCAAGACAAGCCCAGTAGTCGTTGGTGCCAAATTCTACGTGGGCACATTTCGGCAAAGGCGTTGTGTCTAAAGACACACCCACATCCTTAAACACTTTTGTGTTGGACAAATTCTTGGCTACAAAATTACAACCGTCAATAAATACATTCAAATCTTCAATATTTGCAAAATAATTTGGAAATATAATAGGCTGGAGAAAGGGGTCCTTTTTCTTAATTGTGATGTACCCAACGCTCTTTTCCGACATAACGCCAGGCTGGAACATAAGTCGATTGTATTCAGAAAATGGAGTGGTGATACGCACATCACGTGAGCTGGTGTTAAACACTGTTTGTGGCGGAATGAAATACTGGATGTCAGGATAATCGATAGCTGGATCAGCATATCGAGACTTTATATAACCAGACGCTTCGAGGGAACCTGTCCCGGAAAGTGGCCCTTTATGATGACGTGCATACTCAAGAATGTCTCTCAGTACTTTCTGGTTGCTTGACAGGGTCTGCTGTTTCTCCCCCAGTTTGAATACAATCCCTGGCATTGAAACATGATCCTGTAAGTTCTGACCAACTTGTAGATCCTCAATGACGTCAATACCTGCTGCACTAAGGATGCTTCGAGGACCAATTCCAGAGAGCATGAGCACTTGTGGCGATTTTAGTGCTCCACTACTAACTATGACTTCCTTATTAGCATAAACTTTACCTCTGATATGTCTGTGCTTCTCCCATGCATATTCCACCCCATAAGCCGTTTTCTTGTTTGGGTCAATAAGGACCTTTGTAACTCTAACGTTCGTTACAACTTTAAGATTCTTTCTGTCACCGCGGAAAGGCTCGATGAAGGCTCTGTTAGTGCTCATTCGACTTCCATCCTTTTGAGTAAACTGCAGCAATGTGACCCCGGTTTGGGTGCCGCCATTGATATCGACACTCGTGTAGCCGAGCTCCCGGAATGCCTCGACGATAAGTTGTGCGTTCTTGTCCTGGTACGGGAGCCTCTGCACGTTCAAGAGACCTCCCACCGCGTGGTACCTGCTGTTGGCAGCGATGGGGGGATCTCCATTGTTTTCAGACTTCTTGAAATATGGAAGGACGTCTTCAAATCCCCAACCATCGTTCCCTGATTTGACAAAAGGTATCATCATCATCATCATCATTGTACTTATTTATCACCAGGGCCCGGACTTTGATGACATGTCATCTTTTTTTCCTCGTATCCCATGCGATGCTCTTAAATGTATAAATCTCGGATATGAGCTGCTGGTTACAGAAATGTAAATTTTGTAGGTAATTTTTTGTAATTTTTTTGACATTTTTAGGTTTAAGATCATCTTTTCATTTTGGGGGTAATTTTTTGGTAAGTTTTTCGACTTTTAAGGGCATTTCTTCTCATTTTTGGCCATTTTAGGGAATTTTTCTTCATATGTTTTCTGAAATGTGAATAATATGGAAGAGAAGTGTTCTTTCTTTCCTCCTTAAGGCCATTTTTCTGGATTTTTTCGGTCATTTTATAGCTCATTTTTTTAATATTTTCAGGTCATCAAAATCCGGGCCCTGCATATCACATTTTTGGTTCATATGTTAGGTAATTTTTCTGGATTTTTTCGGTCATTTTATACGTCATTTCTCAAATATTTTCAGGTCATCGAATTCCGCGCCCTGTTTATCACATTCTTTCTTTTCCTAATTTGAATCAATTTTCTTAAGCAGGTATTTCGCGTCTTCGTCCCAAATGTATTTCAATTACAGTCTTCAATCATCTTATTACAAAGCATGATATTACTGTAGTTTTAATAGACTGATTGTGAAAACTGGGCTGCTTCATTTAATTTACTTCAGTTTATTTAATGACGCTATTAGACCAAGTAACATCGAATGATGAACAGTAATGAATATAAATCGAAAGGGATGTAAAAGGAAACTGTACTTGTATAATTTACAGAGAAATATCGTCAAATTGATGGAGAAACTGGAGACAACTCCCAAAAATCTCTCTCAACACAGTCAGTGTTCCAGCGAACTTTCTTTAAAATTGATCCAAACATTTATCTAGTTTATCCTAAAATTATGGCAACCTAGTGTCCATCTGTGACATCACTAAACTCTTGCCTCACATGGAGCCTTTCTTTGTTTTACAGTACGTTATTTTATGAATGTCAAGTTTAATTTTTTTATACACAACGATGCCGACATTTATATCGACCTCGTTTAGAAAACAATCTTATCGCCAGTCAGAAGTCAGTGCGCATGAAAACATGTCTGGCTACTATTCCCAAGTGAATGTTCGTAGAGACATTGCTGAGACACTTGCCGTATTGGTTTTTCCCATACCCTACATGCCAAGTGAAGTAAGATAATGTAAAGTTGTCCCTATGCTTAACTAATTAAGAACTACGCCATGAAGGCGTATGGGGGAGTGGATGTATAGATCCCCGACCCTACACGCGAAGTAGATAATTTTATTAAAATTGAATATAAAGCTTTCTTCCAACATGGCCAAAAATTCGACACATTTTATATTCTACAGCTACAAAAACTGATTAAACAACATAAAGCCATTAAACGAGTGACAGGATCATTACCCAGTTTCTTCCATGCATCGTAGGACCGAGCATTTCCTCGGTTGTATATCATTCCATTGAGAACGCTTCCTCCTCCAAGAACCTTCCCGGCGTTCCATGTACACGACTTTCCTCCACAGTATCCTTCATGTGGCTCCGTTTGGAATTGCCAGTCAACACTGGTCTCCCAGCTAAACGGGGTGTAAGCCGGTACATCCACCTGTGGGGGCTCTTCCCCGCCCGCTTCCAGGAGTAGCACTTTCCAGTCGCTTATCTCCGACAACCTGCACAAAGCAGATTCAAATATCCAGTTTGTACGGATCTTAGAAACACGGTAGAGCTTTAAATTCCCTTAAATACCACAAAAACGATAATTATTATACTATACTCGTGTATATATATATATATATATAGTTGGCTCTACCTCCCTCTAAGTTAGGTTAGGTTAGGCTAGAGGGAGGTTTGCGCCTCCTGATCACCTGTGGTGCTAAGACAGCTGGAGCGTAAGCTGCTAATAAGTCAGCCAAAACAGTCAGGTCACACAACCGAATAAAAGGAAACCTGTGGTCCCATGGGTATGGGTTTGGGTGTGAAGTTTATAAATTGGTCGTGGAAATAGCGTGTTGAGAAATAAAGATGGATGCCTAAATTGCGAAAGTAAACTCGATGTTAGGAGAAAGGTGGGGAGGCGATGTTTTAGAGGTACGCAAAAAGGCAAATAACGGAGAATAACGGACATCTGTTGCAACAGAGGTCGTGGTTCTTAGAGGATTCTGCAGTAAAGAAGTAAGTACAGGATGCTAAATTGGATTTGACGCGTAGAAGCCTGGAAAGCGGCCAAAGATATGTTAAAATTTATAGAGGAAACTTCATATGGACAGGAGAATTGCTCTTACATGAAAATAAGTCATGATAAATACATATACTGAGATGATTGTTGGATTAATTGTGCACAGTGGCTTAATCAGAAGAGACATCCGTTACTAGGATATGGCACAATAAAGAGTGATACAGTAATGGAATACGTCACGCCATGCAATGTAATCAATGGAAATACCGCTGGGAACGGTGTTCTCTGTGGGTCCGCGCCAATAGTGACATAAGACAATAATAGAGGAATTATGGAAAGTGGTATTTTCTATAGGATCCGTGCCAATGCTATATTACGAAGACAAACGAGACAGGAGATACCGTGACCCTGCGAGTCCTAGGTCGCAACGAAAAGGGAAGTCTCAAATCTGAGAGTGTAAAATATGGTCACAAGTCCCAAGGGACTCGGACCCGAGAAAGATTACGCTGGTGAGGACCAGTAGCATATACACATGACAGACCCGTCCTTTAGTCAGAGAAGGCGCCCCACCAAAACAAGACTATAACTGTCAAACAGTAATAAATATCTGGTCATGAGCCCCAGATGGGGCTCGACACCAAGACTTGAATGCATGTATAAGAGGTGGGCCTTCTCGGCCCTTGCACCGCGACCTACAGTGGTCTATTGTGCTTTACACCAAGACTTACTGATCGACTGACCGTCAGTCGCAATGTGACTTTGACTTTAGGAGATAGCCCTTGTGGATCCTGGTTCGAATACCTTCACCCTAGTCCTGCAAGTTGTAGGAGACGACGAAAAGGGAACCCAGTGCCGGGGGGTTTAACTGTGCTACCCTGTTCTTGGAGGATATGAATACCGGGACCTGACCCTCCAGGTTGCGGGATTTTCGCATCTGAGACAGTAAAATATGGCCATGAGTCCAGTGGGACTCGGGCATAAGAATGACTGCGTTTGGCGAGGACCAGCAGCATTTGTAAAGGATAGAACCATCCTCTCATCAGAGATGATGTTCCATAAGGACTATTACTGCAAGTGTTCAGTTGAAAAACAAATACTTGTCCCGAGTCTCAAAGGGCTTGGCGCTAAAACTTTGGTTTCCTCGGGTAGCGGTACCGTAATCAAGCGGCCGTAATACGTCGGTGAATGACGTCACTAAAACGTTGCCATGGAAACCATGTTTCTTTGTTTCCATGGCAACGTTTTAGTGACGTCATTCACCGTCATATTACGGCCGCTTGATTACGGTACCGTTACCCGAGGAAACCCAAGCTTAAGACGAACTGATTTGCGGTAAATCGCCAGTCGTAAAGTAACTCTAACTCTGAGGAGACAGACTCTTCGGAGGTCGTCGCATACTGTCGCCCCTGGCGGAGACGGAAGAGCCCCCATTGTCATAAGACTTCGAATAGCAACGCCGAGGCTAGATGTGAGATAGGCGAGAGCCAGCAAGGACCGGAGCCTTGGAACACAGAAGATGATGTATGTACGGCGTTGGCAACCGGTGAAGACACAGCAGACAAAAGTCTTATTGCGCGTTGTAGAGAAATATAGAATGGGGGAATAAGAAACAGCGCTAAAGTCACTTGTAGTTAAGATATTTATGAGTAAAGTAAAACTAAAAACAAACTGTGGTTTTAGTCCGCAAGCGAACTATACCGACCGAACGACCGCCGCTTGTCGGCAATGTTAGTGCCAATTTAAGCGGATAGAGGGTGTCACGTGGTCAGCGCAACGAATCCCCACGGCCGTTAATTTCGGTTTTCAAGACCGGAGCCGCTATTTCCTTGAAATAGCTTCTCAATTATCCTCACGGGGCTGAGTGGACCCTGTTCAGACCCACTCCTCAGAATATCTGATAGCGCCGGGAATCTACCCGGATCTCTGGATCTGTAGCTGGGAACTCTGACCACTAGACCACAGAGGTGGTCGAAGTAAAACTAATTATCAATAAGAACACACGAATAATCACTTATCACATGAAAATGCATTTTGTAATTACAAAATCTTCACGAGTATTTTTGTTTACAGTTCTGTTGCAATATTTACAGCTTCAGCACCTCTTGGCCGTTAAACGCAGCAGTAAAATGACGCGACTGCCGTGGCAGAGATCAGAGTTCACGACACTTTAAAGCGGAAATTTGAACATTCGTACATAGTATGTGTTATGTATTCGTGGCCGCTTATGAAATAGAAGTTTTCATATCATGATGCAGTTTGCAGCAAATTCTTCATTTACCTGCTGGCCACAACACAACCTGCTGATCCTCCACCCACGATTATGAAATCATATCGTTCACCATCAAATATTCTGAAGGGAGGAAATAAGCTTCCAATTTCTTGCTGCTGGTCAATTAGTTTAGGTAGATGCCACGCCAGATAGCACAGCAACACCGTCGCTGGACAGGCTACTGAGACCATCGCACTAACTTCGGCACACGTCTGAAGTGAAGACTCTGAAATAATTATATCGAGCAAATTTAGGACAATTTATTGCTATTGTTCTTGTTGCTAAACGTCGCAGAACGTGTCTTCGAAGAACGTACTGTGTCTAACAAATCAAGGTCAAATTCTAGAAGCTGAACGTATCTAACCGAATGACATGCTTGTGCTTACTTACAAATCCAGAAACAATGTGCTAATTACTCTCTTCTACAAAATATTGTCACACCTTCCTTCCTCACCTGAAGACGGAAACAGATCCAGTTTCCGAAACTTCGTGTTTTCTATTTCCTAGAATTCATGACGATGGAAATAGTCCAAAACCCCAGTAATTCTGTGTGTTATCCACCATCGTCAAAACCCTTCAGAATCTACAATATGATCGTTGTTGAGAAAATGGGACAAACACAAACTATCTCCTGCCGTTGTTCGATATAAACTCCGTGGCCTGTACTCCGCAAGCGAACTATACGGCCGCTTGTCGGCGAAGTTGTTGTTATTGGAGAGGGTGGGCTTCCCCATGCACTTGACCAGATATTGGTCCATTGTGCGTCCCCCTGTGATATTCTACCAGTCTCTATACCCTACCGGTACTGGTGCGTGCCATCAGTCCCGACTCAGCCAGCGAGTTCGGCCTCTACTGACTTAGTGGTATCTCGATGCTTCCCCCATCTACCAGAGGTGTTAGAGACTACTGTTGGGCGGGAAATGTCCTGAATTTGGCTCAGAGGTCCCCTTGAGACATGAGGTTCTTTTACGTGCAGTAAAGCTACGACACGGAACCCACGGCTTAAAGTCCCTCCCGGAGGACTTGTTCCCTGAATTTTTCCGCCCTTAAAAATTCCACGACCTCCGCCGGGTTTCAACCCGCGTACCGTGAGTCATGAGGTGGGAACGTTACCCCTAGACTACGGAGGCCGCTTGTCGGTGAAGTTAGTGCCAATGTTTGCGGATAGAGAGTTAATCTCGCTTTTCCAGACCGTTGTTTCTGGCACACGCGCGCTGATACGGTCATGGGATCGAGTCCAGAACAAGTTACTTCCTAGGCGAGAATAGAATTGGAACCGTGACGGCAATGGGGTTGTGACAACAGTAGCTATATTTTGGTATAAGAATATGTGATAGCTTCCTCTCGTGTAGAGCCAGTGCCAAAAATGTGGAAGTGTTCATTTAATTGTTTTCCATTTCTTTCTAAGAAACGAAATACAACGTGACGTTGCGGCTTTCGGCCATTGCTCCACGATGTTGTAACCAAACCTGAATTAACAATAAATGCAGAACTTCAGTTCTTTCCCTTGTTGAAGTTTCAGCACAAAAATATTTTTATATTTTTAAGGAGAGCAACGATATTTCTAGCGAAGAATGGACATTTGTGCCTAAAATATAGACAAAAGAGTTAGAAAATTTTCAGATTTTATAAAAAAAAAACCTCGGTCCACACACTTTCCACTAGTTAGGTCTATAAGAGGCCGCGCCATAGCTCAAGCGGTTAGTCATTGGCTTCCCACAGCGGCGGCCCGGGTTCGATCCCGGCTCTGGTCAAGTGGGATTTGTGGTGGACAAAGTGGCGCTGGGGCAGGTTTTCTCCGAGTACTTCGGTTTCCACTGCCAATCTTCATTCCACCAATTGCTCCACAATCACCCTCACCTATCATCTGGGGCTGGTACAGTAGGCCAGAAGTGGCCGCAGTACAAGGGACTTAGTCCCACCCCACTAGCAATAAAATAAATGGGCCTATAAGGTAATATCGCAACGAACTTGCCTTATTCAGTGGCACTAAAGTGCGCAGTAGAAACTCCTGCGGAAAGCGGAAGAGAACGGACTGCTCGAAATAGCAGTTACTGAGTTAAGTAGAATGTCTTATCACGAAATAGTCGTGGTGAAGAATTCTGTGGAAACTGCATTTTTCTGTATTTCACTGATTAAGAACTGCGCTACCAAAGAGCATGTCAAAGTAGGTTACTTAAAAAATTATGTAACTTTATTATATACGCACAACATATTATATACCACTGGTATATACGGTAGCTCGAATTCACATTTCCAGGGAGAAAATATGTGTGCACAAATTTTACTGTTGTATTTTCTTTTTTTCTGCCGATTACAGTGGCCGCGCACTCTAAGGCACGAAATGTCTTTGCTCGCTCTGACGCTGGGATCGTGGGTTCGAATCCCGCTTAAGGCACGGATATCTGTATATGCGTTTGCTCTGTGTTTATGTTCTTCTGTGTGTAGGTAGCGGCCTTGCAACGGGCTGATCACGCGTCTAAGAAATCCTACCATCTGTGTAAAAAAAGATTACGACACTGAAGAAGAGGCCTGGGCCCAACAAAGGGCTGTACAACCATTCCTGAATGAATGAAAATCCATTTTGTCTATTAAGAGGACTTTCATCAGTAGAATAACACGATCGAATCTGGGATATCTGTGGTAGTATCTTTGATCTCGAGGGTATTGTTAAGTGAATTTACCCTACTGGAACGGTTCCCCACGATTCTTATAAAATGAATGATTGTTTCGTTTCCCTTAATCTGCTCTCCTTGCGCATGTCTGCAGTTGCAGAAAAGGACCTTTACTGCACAAATAATACGTCTTATACAGATTGCAGAGACTGCGTCATTCATGGGACACCGGTCTTAGACCACATACTTAGGAAAATTATTTTCTTATAACTTGTGCTTTATCCACTGCAAAAGTACTTAAATTTACTTACAAACAAATTCAGAGAAAATCCACCGTTCTCTGACCCACTGCAGTATCAATGATTCGTGATTCTGTCTGTTCCACCTGCACTGATGTAAATGTAAGTTCTCCTAACGCAACTGATATATGAGAAGAGCAACAGAGATCGAGGAGATGTCATCCGGAAGGAAATCAGAATTATACTCTAATTGCATCGATTAAACTGTTTCAATTTTGGATCATTTTCCTTCCATTTGGATAATTACTCTATTATTGGTTCCCTAAGGGAGTCACGCAACCAAAATGCACATATTTAAGTTGCTGTTACTTTTAGTGAAACAAAACGAACTCCGTGGCTTTAGTTCGTATGCGAACTATACCGACCGAGCGACCGCGACTTGTCGGCGAAGTTAATGACCGCCTCTGTGGTATAATAGTCAGAGTTCCTGGTTACAGATCCAGATCTCCGAGTTCCGGCGCTACCAGTTTTTCTGAGAAGTAGTGGGTCTTGAACGTGGTTCACTCAGCCTCGTGAGAATAATCGAGGAATTACTTGAATTGAAATGTAGCGGCTCAGGTATAGAAAACCGAGATTAACGGCAGTGGGGATACTTTGCACTGACAGCGCGATGAACTCTATCCGCTAAAATTGGCACTTTTAATGAGATATTCCATGAAATACATTGGTCAGCTGTAGTCCACGAAATCCAGTATTGATTTTAATTTTAATTAGTTCATATTTATGTTTATGATCATGACAAATGACATAAATTAAATACAGTTCATTATCATGTTGACAAACCGATCAGGTTTGTGCAACTGTAGACATGTTTTTTGGAGGTATCCGCTTTGAATATCAAGCAATCTGACTGTCACCACTACAACAAATTCATTCTTTCTCATTATCTCTGCATCGTTGACGGACAAGTATATTGACTTGCCTGCGGCCACGTCTTTATACATTGTTGTAAAACTCCACTCATATTCATTCATTCATACATTCATCAGCAATCTGTCAGACGACAGGTCCACAGTCTCTTCCAAAAAAGTTCCTCCACTTAATGCGATCTAGAGTTTTCTCCTTCAAATAAGAGTATCCTCTTCTGTCCCCAAGGTCATCCAGCATCTTCTTACGTCTTCTTCCTCGTCTTCTGGTTCGCATACATGGTGTCTCTGTTTTTGGAAAGGGACTATCCGTTTACTTTCCACATCGCAGAACAACAGCCGTTCAAACCACTCTGGTAACGCCTGTTGCTATACGAACTTGAACCATCTCGAGCATCATTTGCTCTGTGCTTCAAGTCGCTGCTGATGACGCTGCTTCCGGCATCAGTTTTTGGTGTCTCTCTTCGTCTGATGCCTACCCTTTGACCTGTCCAGCAAGGGGCGTCCTGCCAGTAGCTACGCTACCGCTTGTATAGCTCTCAGGGTCCTTAGCATACTCAAACCCCCTCACCACGATAAGGCGGAGACACCAACGAGGTGGTACTCATATTCATCGTGTTATAATATTCGAAGCCTTAACATTTCTGCAGATTAGAGAACCTTGTTAAATAATTCAAGATTGAGTCCGTGTAAAATGTCTTAGAAATAATAAAGTAAACTAAAACTGAAGTTACAATGATACAGGCCTCTTATTACTTGAACAATTTTAATTATATTTTACTAATTTTAATCCTCTATTTAAGCATCCTGTTGCATTACTGTATCTGAAACTGTTTATTGCATTACACAGTCCATCAACAATGCAACAAATTGTTCCTTCTATTTTACACTCTCACATTATACACAATATGTTTCGGCCATAATGGCCATCTTCCGGTGTCTTACTATGCTAAAACTGCTACACTGCTCTTTATTGTCCATTCGTCGCATATGCGACTGCACGCTTCATGGTTTAAAAGTCATACTCTTTGTCAGTTGGTATGTGCTAAAATAGCACACGCTGTAGTTCACTTAATTTAAACCAATAAAACCTGTTAAAATTTTCTATTATAATTTCGTTTAAATTTTGTAAAATTCTTATTACACCTCACAAAGGGCGTCTTCACTTGTTTTGATCTGTATCCTTTACTTCAGATATTTTATTGTGGCAGCCTGTTTTTCTATTCGTAAACCCGTTGTTGTGTTACGTCTGCAATCTGTAGGTCTGTACCCTGCTTGTGCGTTGTTCCCTCTAGCAGCGTGTGGTGTTGTCTTCACTACAGGATTGCAAAGCCCAAAAAGCCAGCAAAACCAAGTTATACGCACCTTCGCCAGAACCGTTTAGAATCTTCCAGATTGAAGGTGTTTGAGAACCGTGCTAAGACGAATATTTGAAACTCTGGAGAGAAGGTAACAAGATTTCCCTCGAGGGTAAGAGGAATATACGACTGTCCGCTGGTTCCAAATCACCGGGCTAGAGACACTGTACAATAACAGGCTGGTCTGCTGTTGTGCAGATGTGCAGCAACGTAGTTGAGAACTTGTGAGCACTACCCTACTATTCGCATTTGAAGAAGTAAGGTATGAATGGATGCGCTGGGTTCATCTTATTCCGGATTGGCTCCAATTGAGAGCTCATGCAAACACAGTGATTCAATATTATCTTGACAAAATGTGAAGTAAATGTTTGTTACCATGGCACATTAACATAATTGTTGACATTCTGGACCTTATCTAACGTCATGTTTTTATTTAAATCAACGTTTCGAAGATTGAACTCTGCTTCCTTCCTCAGGTGAAAAGCCAAATATAGGGACAAGGTCCTTCGACTGATTCGAACTTGAGAACGGAGATAGAGTCCAGTCTCTAGAAATTTATTTAGGCAAAACAGGATAACTGGTAATACCCCAAAAGTCAGCAATTTTATTGAATATCTTGACTTGCAGCTTCTCGAGAATGACTATGCTCCATGTAATTACTGGTTCTCAAAGGTGGAATGTTATGGCATGAACTTCGAAATTGATTGTTCATAAGATGAATATTTTTAAACAATGTAACGTGTTTGATCAACGCGTTGCCAGGCAACAGCTCTGTAGACACGAATAGAGGCAACAATAGAAAGGAAATTGTATTTTATTAATCGATTAACTCAAAGAAAGTACACAGAATCTTTGTTATAAATATCGCTGGGTTAATGACGATTAGGAAAAAGCCAACGTTTCATTTGAGAAAGAAATGAACCACATAAATGCACCCTACTGACCAAATTTCGTTTAATAGAACGTTCAAACAAGAGTTACAAATAGTTACGACTGGTCTACACATGGTTTAGGAAAGCAAAGTAATTAAGTTATTAATTTTACAGCTACAAATGTTGATGTTGTTGTTATTACTATTATAAGATGAGAAGGCCGAAAATTACTTCCATTGTACACACGCATGAGATATTAGAACGAATAATAATACTTCAATTCAATTCGTGTTTATTTACATGCAATGGCCTCTGTGCTGTTAAGTTTACACGTAAATAAACGAATTGAATTGAATTGAATTGAATTATTATTATTCGTTCTAATATCTCAAGCGTGTGTACAATGGAAGTAATTTTCGGCCTTCTCATCTTTCGTCTAGTAGGTCACTTTGTAACAAAGAAAGCTTCCCTTTTACCAAAAACTCCGAGGCCTGTAGTCTGCAAGCACACTACACCGACCGAGCGACCGCCGCTTACCGGCGAAGTTAGTGTCAACTTTAACGGATAGAGGGTGTCGAGTGGTCAGCGCAACACATCAGGACAGCCATTAATTTCGGTTTTCTGGAGAGCCTTTTACCAAGAAATATGTTTGTATACAATAATTATATGCATTATATTATTATATTAGTTATTAATGGAGATGCTTAAAAATTTGAAATTTGTAGAAATTAGAAAACATGGCGCAAGGTCTAAATTTTATTGCTATTTCTGTATGGAATGGAATAAGGAAAGTGCTGCGTGAAATTATGGTAATAATTTTCGCCTATACAGCAGCTCACGTACTGATTGCAAGTAGCATTTATTTTGTCAGTAGGTGGATCTGCCACCAAGTTTGTCTGCCGTCAGCTGTAGTCATTTTCATTGTTTGGAACAACTCCCTGAAAGCGGTCATTTTTTTTGTTTTCAATGGCGTATATTTTCGTGCTACGACTGGTTGGTGAGTAAGCCGGGCCACTTATAATTTTCATATTGAAATATTACAGTTCTGTTTACAGTGAACAAATGACCTTACTCAGGTATTTTCAAGGTAAGTTACAAGATAAAAACGCGCACGCGGTAGCATAGTTGGTTGAGGCACTATGCTACAAGTCGGAAGGTCGCGGGATAGAATCCCGATGAGGTGGATTTTTTTTTTCAATTGGGCTAATCCTTCCAGCCACGCTTTGGCCCTGGGGTCGACTCAGCCTCTTACAGAAATGAGTACCAGGAATATTCCTGCGGGTAAAGAGCGGTCGGCGCGTAAGGCTGACAACCTCATCGCCATCTCTAAGCCAATTGTCTAGAAAATGTGGGAGCCTCAACATCTCACAACCCTATGGGCCTCCACGGCCTCTTACAGGGATACCTTTACTTACTTTTTACTTACTTGTGCATAGAACACGTTAAACGGGACCCTTGAACAAGGTGTCTCGTAGGCCGTTCGACTGTCAGTTATAACAGACCAAGAGAGGTCAGAGGCTTAAACTTGGCGGCGGTCAAGCATACGACCGTTCAAGTGACAAGACTGCGTTGTAGAGGAAGCTACTAGAAATAGGGCATAATCTACTGTACCGAGCCTGGACTGACAGAGGCCCTGTATGTATTTCATATACAGTTATTAACATGTTTAACACATAAAATATAAATATCCTTTACATTATGACAAAGGACTTACTACTGCAGACAATGACTAACCAAAGACAGACCCGCCCTATCACCAGAGAGGGCGTCCCACAGTAACAAGACCGTAACTATCGAATGATAATAAATATCCGGCCGTAAGCCAAAATTTGGGCTCGACACAAAGACTGACTGACTGACTGACTGTCTGACCGACCGTCAGTCGCAATGTGACTTTGACTTTGACTTTGAACTGAGAGCACGTGAGACAGAAGAGAAGAGAAGAGAAGAGAGCGGAGACCAGATCAGAAGCGAAGGGAGCAGAGCTGAGAGCAGAAGAAACCAGAAGACGACAGACTAGTCAGGTTGCATCATCTGGAAGACGCTATTGCGAAATGATTGCAATTGTAATTGTAACGACTTATCCAACAAACAGCTTCTACTAATCCCGAACCCATTAATTTCTTGTCGCGTTACCAGGACACGTAACAATACATACACGATTACGTATAAGAAAGTGATTAAGATAAATTTATTAAAATTCATGTGTAACCTACTCTCAGATAGTTGACAGAGAAATTATCTTTTATACGAGGATTATAACAAAACTCTATCCCTGTTTCATGCAAAATGTCAATTATAATGAATCAACGAGAACAAAATTGAAATTCCCCCCCCTACATATTTACTGGTGACTAAATACGAAATATGAGTCCTTCTGGAGATGAAACATGCAATACACGGACGGAAAGGTGTGACTCCTCGTTGTGCGTTTGCTATAGAAGTTACAGTGAAATCCGTCGTTGCCTTCATTGTCTATAAATCCTAAGCATACAATTAGCGTTTCCTAGTGAGAATCCTAAATTACTGCAGCTATTGGTAGAACAGCGAATCAAAGTTGAAAGGCCTATAGGTGAGTCGACCATGTAATGTTGTCACGTGTTGGATGCGTCACGCGACAAATAACTTTACGTGGGTCTCGGATTTAGCGAATCTTTATTGGACACTCAGTCTTACGCACCTTACAATTGTTATCACTTCAACTGCATTCTGCGGCGGCTATCTTTCACCTGTCTTGTATGGCGACTAGGTTCCAACTGTGTTTTTGCTGCCAAGTCAAGTCAAAGTCACACTGCGACTGACGGTCAGTCAGTCAGTAAGTCTTGGTGTCAGCGGCCTCCGTAGTCTAGAGGTAACGTTCCCACCTCATGACTCGTGGTACGCAGGTTCAAATACCCGGCGGAGGTCGTCGAATTTTTAAGGGCGGAAAAAATCAGGGAACAAGTCCTCCGGGAGGAACTTTAAGCCGTGTGTCCCGTGTCGTAACTTTACGGCACGTAAAAGAACCTCATATCCCCAAAGGGGATTACTGAGCCAAATTCCAGGACGTTTCCCGCCCAGCAATAGTCTCTAAGGCCTCTGATAGATGGGGGAAGCATTATAGACACCGCTAAGCAAGTGGCCGAACTCGCTTGCTCGGCGGGACTGATGGTACGCGCCATTTATCGGTAGGGTATAGAGACTGGTAGAATATCATAGAGGGAAGCACAATAGATCAAACTGGTCGCGGTGCATGGGGAAACCCACCCTCTCTAAATAACTAATAAGTCTTGGTGTCGAGCCCCATTTGGGGCTCATGACTAGATATTAATTATTACCGTTTGACAGTTACGGTCTTGTTTCTGTGGGGCGCCTTCTCTGACGAAAGGACGGGTCTGTCTTTTGTATATGTTGCTGGTCCTTGCCAGCGCAGTCTTACTCGGGTCCGAGTCCGTTGGAACTCGCGACCATACTGCCTCAGAATTGAGACTTCGTGTTTTTGCTGTCTGTAGCTGTCGGCTTCTGTAGGTGTTCTGCGGACTCAGTAGAGGACACCTCTCGCCAAGGTTCGGTCTCACGTGTTCGGCAGTCCGTTGCTTCAAGAACGCTCTTTACACCCTGGAACGAGTTTCGTCTCGTCCTTTGCTACTCAACTGCCTTCGTCGCTGTGGAATCTCCACAATTTCCATTGTAGCCGTTGCGCGGGGATGGACGTAAGATAACTCGTCACAATATTTTAATTTAAGAAAGGTAAAAAGATAAAGTTGTCCCTGTGCTTAACTAATTAACCAGTCGCTATATCGACTGCGCTGTCCCGGTTCCTAATATTTTAATGTAGCATATATTGTAATTATCTTGTCTAAACGCCAAACAAGGAATCGTGCGACCACGGATATTGTTGATAATGCAGTTGGTACAGATCTTGAAAATACGTGTTCTCCCCCTGGAACCGTATCCGTTACATTCAGCGAAGCTAACCTTTGACGTTTAGTCAGTGCTGTTAGTACAGATCACAATCCTGTGATGAAGGTGCCACTGTTAACCCGTTACGCTTTTAATGTGTATACGGCTTTACCATTCCATATAAAAGTTATATAAAGGCCTAAGTTATGATGATAGTAGTAAACAATTTCTTGAAAGGTTATATATCAGATTGATTTCAGTGCTTTTACAAAGCCAAACAATGACAGCCTAGTGTATAACATAACTCTGACCTTTCATGTCGCAATATTACAACGGACAAGAATGACGGAAACAAATTGCGCATAAAGACTTCATAAATTAAGAATCGTTCTCGATACACGTAACACAACAAATACGTAGCACCAGTAGAAAATATGACAATCGTCACTTTTCCAAACCAGAAACCTTACAATATTAAAGTAAAATATGAAGGAACATCAAATATTTTTAGCAGTTTATAGAAAATGCGGGGAGGGGGAAGTTACGATCGCAATGATCTCCCCACACTAGAATTACAGGATAATTATTGCTGAACAAAAACGAATACAATTAGTTTAAATGCGTGACATTTCGAATGACCAATAAACAGAATTAGTGTGGTCGTGCAGAAGAATCTGAATTTGTTACTGAAGTATTCCAACGTGCCATTTTATGGCCTTCAGAAAAAAAATCTTATTTCAAAATTTACATTAATAATTTAGGGGATTAAAATATTTCTGTGATGATCAGTAAAATAATCTCCAAAGAATTGAACGTCAATTTGTAGGCACATTTCCTGGCTGCTCCAACCGCTTGAAAAAATAATTCTGATGCCAACATGTCCGCAGTTATCCCGGTGTGTGAGCAGTCAGAGAGCATGCAAACCCTGAACTGGAGGAAGGAAAGTAGGGAGACGAAGGTTCCTTGGGGCCGAGAAGTAGCAGCTACTTTGAAGCATTTATAAATATCTTTGAAATTAGAAGGGGGGGTACACAGTAAACGTAAATTGGCGCATCCAGGATTTTTTTCCAGGAAGGGATCCAATTTTCTATGGATGAGCTTCAAAATATGCCTACAAATATACAGTTAATTAGTTCAAGGCTATTTTACTGCTTAAAAACTTATTATTATTGTTGAAATTTTGTATATTTTCTTAAGTTTTAATATTTTAAAAATCCTGGATGGCATATGCCTAACGCCCGCCGCCGCTGCCGTAGGCTGTCACAATGTTTTTCAGCTTCAGCATTTCCTCCTAGTTAGAATTTCTAACTCTAGGTCTCAGAAGTCTCAAGACTATCCACCAACTTGCACCTCTAATATGTTCAGTTATCTACAGCCCTATATCTCTTCTAACAGCGCCCTATCCAGCACTTCCAGCAGCCACCTCGACAGAATATCCGCTCGACTTACCTACATGTATCTCTGTCATCGCCAAGGGTCGAGACCCAATGACGTACTTCCGTACAATATGTAATCATGTATATAAGGCCTTTTCTTCGCCACAACACTTTTTTGTTTACCGACATTTTGTCATTTGTTATGGTTTAGCAAATTAGCTTAAAGAATGTATTTAATTCTGATTGCTAATAAATATATATATTAAAAAATTGTTATGGTATCGCAGTTGGTTGAGGGGTTATGCTACAAGCCGGAAGGTCGCGGGTTCAAGTCCCGATGAGGTCATTGAATTTTTTTTTAGTTGACCGAATCCTACCAGCCGCACTAGGCCCTGGGGCTTACTCAGCCTCTAACAGAAATGAGTACCAGGAATTAATTAAATAATTTTCTTGGGGAGTAAAGCGCGGCCAGCGCGTAAGGCTGACAACCTTTCCGCCATCTTTGAGCCGAATGTCTAGATAGTGTGGGACCCTCAACGTCTCACAACCCTATGGGCCTTCACGGCCTGGTACAGGGATAGTTTTACTTTTTTATGGTATCGCAGTCGACTAACTGTTGTAGCTAAGAAAGCAAAAAACAAACTCCATGACCTGTAGTCCGCAAGCGAACCATACCTACCGAGCGACCGCCGCTTGTAGGAGAAGTTAGTGCCAACTTTAGCGGATAGAGTTTGTTGCGTAGTAGTGCAACGGTTCCCCACGGCCGTTAATTTCGGTTCTCTAGACCGGAGCCGCTACTTTTCCATTCAAATAGCGCCTCATCTATCCTGACAAGTCTGAGTGGACCCCGTTCCAGACTCACTACTTCACAGGAAATCTGGTAGCACCGGGAATCGAACGCGGGACCTCTGGATGTGTAGCCAGGAACTCTGACCATTAGAACACAGAGTGGTCACTGCTGTAGCTAACTGTCTGAAAATTTGATGACAATAGGAAACAACCCGACCTACAGATTTGTTATGGACTAATGAACTACTAACTTGTGAAATATTCTTGAGAATTTGATAGTTGCTCATCTGGTTAAAATTGTCCCGTCTATATAGAGCTAGAAGTTTCAGTATCATGTTCACTAAAGCAAAAGAAAGTATTTAAATTTTTTCAAATCAAAAAAATTAAATTGAAAAGACGAAATCTCTGATGTTTCCAGTCCAAAGTTTATGAGACACTGGGAATCTGTTTTTGCGGAATTTATACGTATTATTTAATTATAAATTTGTAATTTTGCTAGATTATACATACTCGTACTGCATAATGAGGAGCTTTGTAACTTGTACTCTTCTCTAAGTATAATTAGAATGATCAAGTCAAGGAGGATGGGGTGGGCAGGGCATGTAACATGAATGGGAGAGAAGAGGAATGCATATAGGATATTGGCGGGAAAGCCAGAAGGAAAGAGTCCACTGGGAAGACCAGAGCGTGCGTGGGTGGACAATATTAAAATGGATCTCAGAGAGATAGAATGGGATGGTATGGATTGGATTGACCTGGCTCAGGATAGGGACCAGTGGACGGCTCTTGTGAACACAGTACTGAACCTTGGGATTCCATAAAATGCTGGGAAATTCTTGAGTAACTGCTGAATTGGCGGTTCCTCAAAAAGGGCTCATCTCCATGAGTAAGTAAGTAAGTAAGTAAGTAAGTAAGCTAGATTATGTTTGTATATTTAGATGAACTTAAATTATTGGTATTGTAATAAAATATTTCTGCAGTAACTTGGTTATTTTGTGTGATTCCTGAATTTGTGTTTTGTTGTGGTAGGGCTACCCTTCATACTTTGAGTCAGTTGTCAATATGCTACATACAGAAATTATTGAGAGATGAATACTAATCAAATAATAACTGCATGATATCCAGCATATTTTTTGCAAATGAAAGTTTCTTAATGTGAAAAGTGTAATTATCCCTATATATAAATATCATATGATGACAAGGCATGACCACAGTTTAGTAAATTTTGGTAACTGAATGTAGTATGTTTCAGAACTTCCCATGAGAAATGATACAGAACTCTGAAATAGAATTTGAAAATATTGTACATTTTGATACTCAGTATTATTGTGTAGTTTTGGCGGTAGAGGTTTAGATGTGTTGTATGTTCAAACTGTTCCAAGGTTGCGGCACTCATTGCAGTCTCCATCTGTCGTTGCTGCTTCAGAATGGATGATGTGGAGCAATATATTGGTCTCACAGGGGGAGTAAGGGTGAAGTGTGTGGAGCGTGGTACTATCCAGTAGGAAGGTGTCATAACCCAGTACACTCACATGAGCTTTGCAGTGGGTGTGGAGTGTGGCATGCAAAACACTGAATGGGCTAGTCTTTTCCCACAAGTCAAAATACTTGCTGGAGACTATAATCTGGATCTGAAATTACCTGAGGATCATTTTTAAGAAATTCTTTCTCAAGCATTACTCCCTGAGGTTAACCTTCAATCCTGCCAAACCAACAAGATATGAAATCTCAGTAACACATGCCAGTTTAATATCAATTGATTTGCAAGCAGCAGCCTGTAAAAGTTACTCCAGCTATCTCAGACTCTTATGAGTTTGTTCATGGATACCGATTTCATGAGGGGCTATTAAATTTTTAGACCATTTCACTGTCACAATCACTACTTAACCTGGATTGAAACGACAGTATTGTGAGCTAACCTCAGTGTTACAAGTGTATATAGAATTTTGCTGCTGTATAAGCTCTAGGTAGGAGCCGGTATAGTGTAGTCAATATAGTGGCTGGCTACAGGCTGGAAGATGGAAGGGTCGAAGATCAAGTCCCTGCAGGGTCAAGAATTTTCTCATCTCCAAGTCATCCAGACCGGCTCTTGGATCCATACAACCTCCAATCCAATGGGTACCAGAGGCTCTTTCTGAGGTAGTCAGGCTGTCAGGACATGAAGCTGATTACTCACCGCCAACCAGTGCCGAAGTAAGGAAAACCTGGATCTACACATCAGCTCCCCCATATGTCTTCATGGTGTAGTGTTTAATTAGTTAAGAACAGGGACAGCTTTACATTTTTCCTGTTTTAAAGTTAAAATATTACATGGTCATTTAGCATCTTCAAATGCAGTCAAACATTCCCGCTTTTGACATCACTCGAAAATAATTAAACCAGAACTTATTTTAATTTTATATAAGTGCAAGGCACAAAGTGAAGCACAAGCTGAGAACAAAGACTGTGATACTTTCTGGTTGACTTAGACACACTAAGGGCTGGAGTTTGAATTGGGTTGCTTTTGTACAATCCAAGAATCTCGATGGAATTATAAATGGCAATGGAAATAGAGCAGAATAGTTAACTTGTCATAATAGAATGTAAGCTGAAGGAAATGTGACACTTTGGAGACCTACGCATGAGAATACTATTACAATAGATCCTAAAGAAATTGGATGTGAATTTGTCAATTGGATTTCTTAGCCCATGGTAGGTTTCAGAATTCCCGCTCATGTGAAAGCAATATGTAACTTCAGGTACCATAGAAGGTTCTACGAGCAGCTATACTATCAAAAAGGGCCCTTACCACGGGGATAACTTGCCATATAAAATATCTCTTCCTTCGAAGGATGTCTCCGATTTGCTTTGTTATTTAGCACCATCGTTTTGAAGTAAGTAATCTGAGTGTGGCGGCTAACGGATATTCAGGATAACCAACATTTCCATAGAACTTAATAAGACAGTTATGGTTAATATAAGGTTAGAAGAGATCCTGTATGTAACATAAAATTCTTCTGGATAGAATCCTTCCCATTTTACTCGGAGAAGTAAAGCCATTACTAAAAAAATATAAAGTATTGCTACAAATATTCATGAATTCGTCCCTGCTGTTGGCTCCCCTAAATAATTCGCAATGACGTCAGAAACTTGCCGGGCAGGACTGAACTAATTTAGTCAAAGAAGATGTTTATACGCTATCGAATGACTCAAACTCAGTTTATTTATGTAAATGAGACGCCTCTCTTCACAATTTATATACTCCAAGGAAATAATGAAATTAATACTTATTGGTGAAATCTTATTACAACATACTTTAGTGGGTTGTTTGACTTTCAATGTTTTAGTTGTACAATAATTGTGTACATCATAGAACAAGTAGTTTGTTTTTGGAGACTGTTATGACGAAGAAGTTATATTTGCTATGTAAAAACCAGTTGAATATTTTAAGCTACAGTTTGGTTAACTTAATGCCTTCTAATGGACTCTACTGCAGAAAATGGCATCACGACAACAAAACGAGTTGGGAGGAGCTGATTAAAGATGTTTTTAGTATTCGTTGCTGTCATGTAGTCATAGTGGAATGAAGAATAAATAGAAACACTGTTTAACAATGGCTGGAGTTCATCCAGAAAACGAAGAGCGATTGAACTGGATAGAGTTTTGTGACAGACATGCAAAAACTGCAGCTACTGACTTTGCTAAAGCATTTTGTACCTATGTCAGTTCTAACCTCCCAGAAAATGCCAGGAGCACGGTGTCGCATCGTGATTTCGTCCGTAAATTTGTTGACTATTTTGTAGATCATTTTGAGGCAGAATTTACAAAAAAGAACCTCGCAAATCATCACAAGGAAAAGATTGTGAATGGGAATAATGTCACTGCAGGCACCACGAACCCATCTGCTCTCCGAGCAAACAGTCATGAAGAATTCAGTGATTATTCAGAGCATGAAGCAGATTCCCCATCCCCCAAAACTCATCATAAACCATTCTTCCGTAGACTTTCATTCAAAGGACTAAAGAAAGGAAAAGTCTTTTTCCACAAACAGCATTCAGATGAAATGGAATTGTCATCACATCATGACAAGCATTCAAAACATGACAAACATTCCAAAACAAAATTGGCAAAGATTGTTGTAGAATGTAGGAAAGAGGGAATTGTTAATTACTTGATGGGTGAGAATATAGATGGCACACAAAAGTGGGAGAAGTGTCGGCTAGCCTTGGTAAAAACTGTTGGTGGTTATATGTTGGAGTTTTACTCCCCTCCAAAGGTGAGTGCTAAATTTGATTACACTCTAAGTAGTAGACCATTTAGAAGTTGGTAATATCCATGTCATGATGCTCTGTATTCCCATATATTCAGCTTACATTAGAGGCAGAACTTAGACTTTGACAGTACAGGTACAATTAGAATTCATTAATCTTATAATTAAGTTTCATGTGCTCAAAATATTATCCTTCTCCCTTAAATCATTTACTGCTTTTGTTGTAATGAAATGGTTGACATGAAAGTCAAAAGTTAGAACAAAATAACGTTCTTAATCACAATACACGCCAGAAGTTAAATCTCCATACTCAGTTTTTGCAGAACAAATGCCTATAAGAAAGGAGTACTGAACATGGGAATAAAATTATACAATAAAATACCAAATAAAATTAGGGAGATAGAAAAAATGAGAAAGTTTAAAAAAGTAATGAAGTCAAATTTGGTACAACATACATTTTATTCTGTAGAGGAATATATGTTAAATTAAAGATGGTATGTTTGTGAAAGGGGAGTATTTAGTTTTAATTATAGAAATTGAACTAGTGTATGTTTAATGTGTATGGAACATTTTCTTATGACAGTGATTTGATGAGGAAGGAAGAATGGATTGGTTGATTGATGTGCAATGGATTGAACTGGTTACTCTGTTGGGGAATTTATGTTGTCTTAAATTTTTAATATAGTTTTATATGGTATGTTGGACATGTACACAATTTGTGTATGTAGTTAAATATTATAGTATTGTTGACTTTTATACAAATAATTTGACTTGTTCTATATCTGGAGGCTGTATTGCAAAATGTGGATTTCTGGAACCAATAAAAATATGAATATGAATATGAAACAGGAATCCTGTTATTTAATTTGAGAAATTTGGTATGTCAATGGTGGCATTCTTTGAACCTGACTTGTGGGGATCAATGGTAATTTACACTTGTTTCTGCATAATAGAAAACAGTGTTAAATATTATGTTATGATGATACACAATTACTGAGCTTTTTTGAAGTAACTGTTCTGATAGGTTTGTCTTGAAGAATATAATGTTTTGGGTTGTAATGCTGTATAGTCCAGAAAGAAGCACAGCATACATACATTCATAAATAAATTCATAAAACAACAAGAGATTGTATGTTAAAATAAATAAAAATCATAGTTGGTATGTATGCAGATCTAAAGTAGATGATTATTTATATATTTTTAGTTAGTTAATAGGACTTGTCAAGGTAATTTTAGATACTATTTATAAGAACCAAGAATGTGCTTATTAGCTCTCTTACATAACTCATGTTGCTTGAGACATTTTTACTCACCTGACATGAAAATTTATTTAGGTTAAAATGAAAACTTTTTGTTATATTAACCAGAGACTCAACCTAGATCTCCTAACAGTGATGATATAAGTGTCATAGTCCTCATATTCACCATATGGTACAAATAGTTGGTCTTGCACTACTTCTGTTATTTGGATGGATTTGGATTTATACTGTAGCACAGTTCTTGGTCACATGCAATATATCATCACAGTTATAAACTAGGATCTTGCTTGTAAATTAATTTATTTTCTTTTTTCAGGCAGTGAAACCAAAAAGTGGTGTGTTTTGCTTCCTGATCACAGAAGCAAGGGAAACTACAGCCTTGGAAATGCCAGACCATGAAAATACCTTTGTTCTGAAAGTGAGCACTATTATTGTGACAAGTTAACAACATTATAGCTCATGGAATTATGTAAAATGTTACATATACATTGTGTTTACAGGCTGAGAACAACATGGAGTACGTAATAGAAGCTCATGACACAGATGATATGCGATCATGGCTGGCAACCATCAAGTACTGCATGAGAACCATACATCCAATTCAGGATGGGAGGTGAGTTGCAACAGATGTCATATTGTGTTATCAGAAATGTTACATGTATAGGACAGAGAAACTGTACATAAATACACTTGCAGGGTTGTAGATCATGTGATTTATGAAGTCATGTCACACCTTTCAATTTTAGTAACTCAGAATCACACATGATGCAAGCATATAGAAGGAAAATTCATGAAAATTTAGTGGTATATGAAAGCATAATTCATACAGATTTTATTGTTTCTGATATGGCAACATTCTGCATTAGTGGTAAAGTCAGCTGTCATAACAGCTGTGCTTGAGAAGTGGAGGAATATCATAGGAAGGCTGACAGCATGGAAGAGATTCCTCAAAATTAAATGTTGGGTGCCTTCAGGGCTTTTTCTTTAAGAACCAGTAGTCACTGAGAAACATTACCTTGCATTATTGCAAACTTTCTATAACCCAGAAATGTAATGATGAAATATTTTGAAGAACGTCTTCCAAGAAATGGTGCTCCTTGCCCTTACATTACAATTTGCAGTAATTCTTGAAAAAACATCATTGTATAAAATGGATCTGTAGATGTGGACCAGTTGCTTGGCCACCTTGTCTACCTGACCTATAATGCCTTCATCCAACGCATTGATGCTTCCTGCTGTTATGCTACAAATGTGTAACAGTTCTTGAGTAATGTCTTCTTAGAGAGTGGATTTATAGACGTGGACCAGTTGCTTGGCATTGTTGTTCACATGATCTGTAACACCTTGCATCAAGGCGGTGCTTCCTATCATAACTTTGCAGATATGCAACTGTTCTTGACTAATGTATTCCCAGAAAGTGAATCAACTGAAGTGAACCAATTTCTTGGCCACCTCAGTCACCTGACCTGTATCCTTGGTGTTGTTAGTTACTCACCAAAACCACATTCTTTGAGTGAACATAGGGCCAGGATCTGAAATGCAGTTCATAAAATTACTATGAAGTAAGTAGAAAAAAGATGCTAGCAAGTCAGAAAATTGGACTGACCAATCTGTTGCAAAAGATGACAGTTACGTTGAAGCTCAGAAATTTGATTTTTACTATGTTAAATAAAGACTTGATGAATTGTGCTTGCACGTGTCATTTACAGTTTGCTTCTATCATATGAGGGCTATAGTTTAAACTTTAAAATTACATGTTTACTCTATGGGGGGCCACGCGATAGCATAGTTGGTTGAGGCACTATACTTCAAACTGGAAGATCTTGGGTTCGATTCCTGATGTCGTTGGATTTTTCAATTGACCTAATCATTCCAACCACACTGTGGCCCTGGGGTCTACTTATCATCTAACACAAATGAGTACCAGGAATCTTCCTGGGGAGTTAAGGGCAGCTGGCATGTAAGGCTGACAACCTCACTGCAATCTGTGAGCCATAGACTAGAAAATGTGGGAGTCTCAATGTCTCACAACCCTGTGGGCCTCTACGGCCTGTTACAAGGATAGCTTATATGTGGGTTACTTCAAAGGTAATGGCAACTAATTTTTGGGAGGGGCAAACACGTTACAGTGAAGAAAGTTCAAAATATACGTAGGTCAAACTGAAAGTCATGAGCAACTTTTTTTTTGCATGCAACCTGGGAACAGCAGATGAAAGAGAGTACAGTGGTAGGTGGAAGCAGCTGTTGTGTTAACCTTGAGTGTCTTCTGACGTCAGTAGCTTGCATCACGTGACCAGTATCACTCCTAACAAAATGGCCAACAATGATATGTCGTTTCGCCAGCGTGCTGTCNAAAAGCCATCACCTCAGAACTGCTGCAGAGATATCAACATCAAGGCGATGATTTTTTGCTCTGTATTGTGACAGGTGACGAAAGCTGGTTTCACCATTTCAAGTCTGAAATGAAACGGCAGAGTATGGAATGGCACCATTTGCATTCTCCATCAAAAAAGAAGGCAAAGACAGTGCCATCAGCTGCAAAGGTGATGGGCACAGTCTTCTGGGATGCAGAGGGGTTTATTCTGGCCGAATTCCTGGAACCTGGGCACACCATCAGTGCTGCTCGTTATGTCCAGACGCACAAGCTCCATCGTGCATTGCGCGATCATCATCATCCTGCATGACAATGCTCGCCCCCACACCGCTCGCCTCACATTGGAAGCAATTGCAAAGATGGGGTGGGAAGTTCTTCCACACCCCTCCTATAGCCCTGACCTGGCACCCTCCGACTACCATCTCTTCTGATTTGTGAAGGATCAGCTGCGTGGACAACGTTTTGAGACAAGGGAGGCAATTCAGAAAGCAGTGCGTCAGTGTCTTCGGATGGCTGGAACAGAATTTTACAGAAGGGGAATTTTCAAACTCCCAGAACGCTGAGAGAAATGTGTACAAAGAAGTGGCGATTATATGGAAAAATAATGAAAGGTCTGTAGATTGAGGTGGTGTATTTGGTTTGTCAGTAATAAAGCATGTTATTTTACAAAAAATTGTTGCTCATGACTTTCAGTACGACCCTCATACTTATGAAAGGGCATGATGTACCCCTCCAATTGGCTTTTCCAGATCAGGTAGACGTGAAGGGGCATAGGTATAGTAGGCAAGAAAAATTGCACATTACAGAATGACTGCTTTTTCATTCTTTAATCCTCGAAAATTAAATTGTGATTAAGGAATAAAAAATTCAATGCACAGTTGCCTGGTGAATCCCTGTATGTGTCTCTAACTCCTTCAGAGACCAGCCCCTATCTTCCTCCATGCATTGGATGATCACGGCACGAGAAACATTGGTACGAACGGACACAGGGCGTCCACTATGTTGTAAGTCAGCACTTGCTTCTCTTCCACGTTCGAATGCTTCCATCCACCTTGCAGCAGTTCTGTATGGTAGAACACGGATCACCCAGAGCTTCCACATGCTCTGAGTGACATTCAGTCGCATTTCTGCCGAGAAGCACTGCTATTTTCATGTAACAGCACTGTTTCAGCCGGCTAGCGTTCATTTTCGATGAAGGTTATGATCACACTGACTTCGCACTGGACTCACTTCATTGTCCTTGGACTTCCACATCATCTAGCGGCATCATTAGAAATCAGACGTTGCTGTCTCTCAGTGGCAAATTTGGAAATTCCAGGCGGAGCTTTCGAAATTTCAGCAAAATTATGTTGCCATGACTTTTGAAGTAACCCACGTATTATAATTACTTGCTTTATGAACATTCTGTAAATTGTCTTTGTGAAGTAACTTGTTCAGTGGTAAACTCTGATAAATGTGGTCCAGATGTAGGCAATAATAAACTGAATTTACTATGAATATACAGATATTCTCTGTGCATGTGTGTAAAAGGAACAAATCCTTGTAAAGGATTCTGCATTCGCATTTGTTCTTTGAAACTACTGTATGGATGTGAGTAAATTACTGCAAGTAGTCATGTGATTATGATTTCCATATTGGTCCATTGCAAATGCTGCTGTACATAAGGTCAAATGTTTCTGTATTTATTAAATATAATCAAAAGTAAGTATCCTTGATATTGAATTTGTGGCCATGGATATGTTTTTTTGTAATATACAGATCTATCATGAGCCGTTTTAGCGTATTTTCCTAAAGTAAGTTTAGGTAATCTCCAAGCTGTCGGTGTGTCTGCGAATGTTCTCCCCCCCCCCTGTTAATTTTTGATTACCTGAACCAATCTTTATGAAACTAGATATGTATTCCTTGGTACCTGAACCCATCTCAGTGGTGTACTTCATAAATCACTCTCATCAGTTTGTGTGTCTGTATTTGGATCCCTGCTTATTGTTGGTAGGCAGTGGCTCAGTAGACAGGTTCCCATGGCAACAAATACATGCAACAACAGAAGAATTGTTGGAGGTGCCCTTTTCTATACTGTCAAAGGAGAGTCTGTCAGTCTGTCTCTGTATCTTCCTATCGGTACTAGGCAGTGGTTTAGTAAATACATTCCTGTGGCAACAAAGAATTCTTGGATGTGTTGTTTTATATGAAGTCCATGTCTTTTCAAAGGAAAGTAGGAACCAGTTCTTTCCAGAACATCTAGTTTGTATATAAATTTCATAACATTTCACTTGAATATAGATTGGAGACAGAGGTTTAAGCTTTTGGTGAACTGATATGCAAAAATAAATAAAGCCTTGGTAATTGTCTGTCTGAAGCGAAGCTGTCTCCATGTTATATTTTGAGGACTGAATATTTTAGCAATGTTTTATAAATGACAGAGCACTTTATTTACAAAGCATGTTGGAAAGTGTTTGATCAAACACATTATTCTAAGATATTTACCTGCAATATAGCAGTAGTTATGGTGTAGGCATGTCTGCTTGTGAGGCTGCACCTGTAAGAAGTGCTTTGTGCTAATGTTACTGTTGCAGTAGGAGTTTACTGGCAGGAGGAAGTGAGGGTGATAGGCTGCGAGGCCCTGTAGAACGAGGGGCAAACAAATCCTCAGAGGCAGGTAGTGAAGTAGGTGCTGTAGGCCTGGAACATCCGCCAGAACTTCCACCAAGACTGCAGGGAACTGCAGGATCTCGAGCTGCTGGCAGTGACACACCAGGGCTCAGGTTATCAAGCAACAGCAATTTTGAGCTGTGCACATCCCATCCTGAATTGGAACAAGGTTAGAAGTTATGTCTCATGTCCTAGACAGATCATTTCTGACATCTGTGTATTACACATTCTGTCAGTAATGCAACAAATTGCTCGTTTTTCTTCCACTTACACTTTTAACTCATGTTTAGGCCCTAGATGGCCATCTTCGGGTGTCTTAATGCGAGGGGTAGTCAAAAAGTACCCGGAATGGTAGTATAGCACTCTAATGGTAGGACATACGGCAATGCTTACCTAATCACCTTCAAAGTAGGGCCCTTGCACGCGCACACACTTGCTCTATCGATCCTGCCATTGTTGGAAGCAGCGGTGGAAGGCCTCTCTTGGAATCTTCTGGAGCTCATCCATCGCATTTGATTTGATGTCCTTCATGGTTGCAAAACATGTCCCCTTGAGGCCCATTTTCAGAGTAGGGAACAACCAGAAGTCACTCAGAGTGAGATCCGAAGAGTATGGTGGTTGAGTGATGACAGGAATGTGTTTCTCAGTGAGGAATTGCTGCACAACAAGCGATGTGTGGCTCGGTGCGTTACGGTGATGCAGAAACCACTGTCCCTGCCACTTGTTGCGCCGCTTCCTCCGAACCACATCGCGCAACCTCTGCAAAACTTGCACGTAGAAATGGCCGGTAACAGTACCAACTTCTTGCTCCAACACCGCGATGGTCATTCTTTGATCACATCGAATCAGTTGTCTCACTTTTCCAATCATTTCTTAGGTTCTGGCTGTCGAAGGTCTCCCGCTGTGCTGGTCATCCTCTAACGTCTCCTGCCCATTCTTAACCCTGGAAAACCAGCCGTAAACTGCGGATTTCTTTCGTGCAGTGTCACTGTAAACTTGCTGCAGGGCTGATAGCGTCTCTGATGCAGATTTTCCCAATTTGCACATGAACTTGATGTTCACATACTGTTCGAACTGCAACATTGTGCCGAATGACCAACACTCATGTCTAATTCAAACGGAACAGTAACAACACTGCACACTGAAACCTGTGTCCAGACCTGTTGTGCCTACAAGCAGACATGCTGAGCTTCCCACCACAACAGTGTGTGTGCTATCTTATCGCTCATTCTCTGTCTGCAAGGGAATTCTGGGAACTTTTTGACTGCCCTACGTGTATTAAAACTGCTACACTGCATTAATATGTGCTAAAATCACAGCAAATTTCAATATTAAAATTACTACACTGCATTAATATGCACTAAAATTACAGCAAATTTCACAGTCCATAGCCATCACTGATAAGTCACAGTTGTGGCATATGTGGGAACAATTCGAATATTACTTTGACATGTGCAGAGGGACTAATGGAGCACATGTTGAACATCTCTACATAAACTGTATGAGTTTCCGTGCTGTTTTCAATTTTTTCATGTTTGTATCTGTAACCGTCTAGAAAATACGATAATTTCTTATCACCCAAATCATTATAAGTAACCCTGTATTTACATCATATACATATGTTGAATATGAGCGTAGTAACTTAACAAGGAGTTCTGGGCAGAACTCAGAAAGCATACTTATAGATCCACAAGTCTTGTGTTGTTAATCAGTTATGTGCACATGTTCTTGCCTGTTGTCTCATCAGTAGGGGAGTATTAACCATCCCCTGACTTTTAAATTTGTTATTCTTATGATTTAGTTTAGAAGTATTTCATCCTTCTTTAAAATACAATGTATCAACCACGTTTTATTATAAAATTATGAAACAAAAATCATTTTAAAGACCAATTATCGGAGTTTATGTGCATTGTGACGTATACACTCATTGTTCGGTAATGGCCCATACAAATGCAACAGGGGAATGTGTTATATCAGTGATGATGTCACACAACAGAAGAAGAAGAAGGGTTGCAAGTGGTGTTCTCTGTGGGTCTGCACAGAGGCTATATGACTTGACCCACCAATTTCAGGTGAGTGAGTGCAGTGTAGTTGAGTATAGTGGAGTGAAGTGATTTGACTGAGCAGTCAGTTAGAGGACTGCTGCAATTCAGTCCTTGCAAGCTGTTGCTGTTAGAAGCTGAGGCACGGAGATAATTTAGGTACCCTGACTAAGGGAAATGTCTGCCGTTTGGGGCCACTACCAATGAATGGCTAGTAGGGACTGTTAACAGACTGAGAACACTAGTCCGTGTATGATAATGATTTCTGAAGTGTAGTAACGAGTTGTATAAGTGTGCAGTAAATCCAATTATCAATCCATACCTCGTCTATAGTCACACTCGTACACATGACAGTATTTTCATATTGTGTTATGCAGAACTGTTGCTAGGCAGTGACCATGAAAAGAAACTGTTAGACTTTACATTTACATCTTATGCACAGTGCAGTGTAGCAGTTTGATGAACATATATTCCTGATGGTGGCCTCATATGGCCAAAATGTGTAAAATATGTATGAAACATAGATTATATGGTGTTAACCAATAATTTATTTAGTGTTGCATTTACAAGACTGTGTCACATACATTCAAATATATCTAGTGTCCAATGACTGCAACAGGATGCACAAATATAATATTAGAATAGAATGTTTATAGTTTTGTGTGGTGTATCCCCCTATCTTGAGTCTTTTAAAAGGAATTATGTGCTTTTGTGGTGAATGTGCTGAAGTATTCTGTTCCAAGGGGGAGTAAGCTAGGGCAGCATATCATAACACCATGGTTGCATTGAAATTGATGCGCTTAATGAAGTTCCTTCTTACAAATATGGTATTTACATCATTATAGTTTTTTCTTATTTACATGGCAGAACTACAATGTATGTATGCTTTCACCACTTCTCGCTGTAACAAAATAATACTATAATGTATAACTGCTGATGTTTATTGCAATGACATTTCATTCTGGGATCTATTAGTAATGTTGTATTATTAAAATGAACCGATTATGTGTATAACCCTAGACAGTCTATGCACTATTCAGAAATGTTATTAATTAACCTCACATTCCATCGACAGTTGTTGCAGAGCCAGAACTAGATCTCTCAACCTCATTACGTGAGTACCCATGGTTTCATGGAACCCTGCCTCGTTCAGATGCTGCTCAGCTGGTCCTGCATGAAGGAGCAACAGGCCATGGTGTATTCCTTGTGCGGCAAAGTGAGACACGGAAGGGCGAATTTGTGCTCACTTTTAATTTCCAAGGGAGAGCAAAAGTGAGTGATGTTTTACAATGCATAACTTATTCATATTCAGTAGCTGCTTATTACTGTGCTCACATTTCTGAAATTTATTTACATTCTGTAAACTTGTGGTTATTTTAACTGAAAATTGTATTAGTAATACATAATAAATAAATAACATGTGAATGACTCGTTCATTACCGCTGAAGGCGTAGCTTTTTAATTTTAATATTGCCATACCATCAATATTGACCTATCTTTCTATTTTCCTACATGGGAACAGTGCTAAAACTTCTACTATTAATGAGATGTTTCTTGCAGCACCTTCGAATGACACTGAACGACCAGGGCCAGTGTAGAGTGCAGCATCTGTGGTTTCCAACAATTTTTGACATGTTGGAACACTTTCGTCAGCACCCCATTCCACTGGAATCTGGAGGAACTGCAGATGTGACTTTGACTGAGTTTGTGGTGGCAGCCGTTATGCCACCAACGGGCGGACGAGGAAGTTCTGCAAGTGGACAGCCAACAGGTGCCGAGACAAGAAGGCCACCAGTCCCACCTGAACCTCGAGAGGTGAGAACCTTAACTTTAGCTTTGAAGTTACTTGTAATTACTTTAACTTTTAGCTTCCTTTCCTTATTTTGAAAGAAATAAACCTAGGCTTATGAGATGACCTTGCTGTCTGTGTGTGTGTGTATGTATATCATGGTATCTGAGCCCATCTCAACGGCCTGATTCGTAAAATCGATCCATCAGTAATACCAACATTACAGCCCCTCACATTTCTGAGGCAAAACCATAGTATTGCTTGAATGCATGTACCAGTCTTCATGAAACTTGGTATGTGTATCATGCCATATGAAGCCAGCTCAACAGCTTACTTTATAAATCACTTCTATTAATAATATCAACATTACAGCCTCTCAGATTGTTGCAGTAATGACCATAATGTTACTTGAATGCCTGGACCGATCATCATGGTACTTGTACATATATCATGCCACCTGAGCCCATCTCAGTGGCATGATTCATAAAATCCTTCAATCAGTAATATCAGCATCACAGCCTTTCACAATGCTGAAGCAAAATGTTACTGTTGCTTGAAGGCCTGTACCAATATTCATGGAACACTATGTATGTCATACCATTTGAACCCATCTCAATAGTGCAATTCATAAAACCATTCCATAAGTAATACCAACATTGCAGCCATTCAAATTGCTAAGGCAAAACCTTAATAATGCTTGAATGCCTGTAACAGTTTTCATGAAACTTGGTATGTATATCTTGCCACATGAATCCATCGCAACAGCATACATCATAAATCTCTCTCTTTTGTAATACCAACACAGCCTGTCAAATTGTTGAGGTAATACCATGAAACTTGTGTCATGCCACCTGAGGGTATATAAAAAGCATACATCTTAGATCCTTCCCATCAGTAATACCAACACTGAAGCCTCTCAGAATATGGAGGTAATAACCTCAGTATTGTAGAATTTGAGGTCCTCACAGCGGTGGTTATAAAGAGTGCTATTTTCTGTGATATAACACTATGTAGTCTGTTAAAAGTCAACCGACATTGTGGAGGAGCATATCACCCCCATCTCTAAGGCCTAATATGGCGAGCAAGTATCTTGCTCAGCTTACTCTTCAACCTTCATATTACTTGAAGGCCCAAACCAATCTTAATGAAACTTGGTTTGTATATCGTGCCATGTGAGGCCATCTGAACAGTGTACTTGATAAATTACTCCCATCAGTAATGCCAAGACTGATGCCTCCCAAATCATATTGTTTTGTTGACTTTGTTATGCATACATACTAAAGTTTTCTTTCTACTTACCAGATACTCAAATTATAATGAAAGGAAAGTAGGCAATTAATTCTACACATCTTGTAATGTTATTCTCTTTTAGTAAATTCAAGTTAAAATAGAGCTGAAGAAGTAGCTACCTTCATGATAGCATGAAGAACAAGGGGTCTGATGCAGGGGATGGACAAAAATATGGAAACACCCAACAAAAAACACATTACTGTGACTAATATGATGTAGGACAACCTCTGGCTTGCAGAACTGCTTGCAGTCTCCGTGAAATGGATAAATAGAGGTCCTGTATGATTTGCAAGGGAATCTTGTACCATTCTTCCTGAAAAACATTGGCAAGTTCTGTTAACGATGATGGAGGTGGATAGCACGCATGCAGATTGCTCTCCAAAACAGAGCACAAAGGCTCAATAATATTGATATCTGGCGATTATGGGGGCCATGGCAGATGTGACACTTCATCTTCGTGCTCAGAAAACCAGTCCTGGACTATGTGAGCTGTGTGAACACGGGCATTGTCAGCTTGGTAAATGGCATCACCTTTGCAAAACAAGTTTGCACCATGGAATTGACTTGGTCACCCAAAATGGTCATATAGTCGTTGGCAGTGACGTGACCTTGCAGGGTAATGATGAGTCCGCCAGAATACCACGATATGGCTGCCCATACCATGATCGAACCCGCGCCATCTTTCACTCTTGGCAGCAAACAATCTGGATCGTAAGCTTGGGATGGCGTTCTCCAGACGTAAACTCGGCCAGAAGTCGGAAACAGTGTAAAGGTGGACTCGTCTGACCAAATCACCATCTTCCATTGCTCCATAGTGGAGGATTTATGACTTCGGCACTACATTCTCCTCTTAGTGGCATTGTGATCACTGATGAGTGACTTTGGAATTGCAGCTCGTCCAGAAATACCCTGCTTGTGGAGTTCCCTTCTTACTGTTTTGGTGCTGACAGGGTTTGTGAGCGTGACATTCAGTTCAGCAGTCACTTTTGCATCTGTAGTCTTCTTATTTTTCGTCACAATGCTACGCAATGTTCGTCTGTCTCAATCACACAGCACACATTTCCATCCACACTGGTGTTTATCAGATGCGGTTTTTCCAGCGCTCCTGCATGCGGTCATAATCTTGGGTACTGTGCCTCGTGAAACACCAAAAACTTCAGCTACCTTGGTTACGGAAGCACCCACCATACAGGCCCCAACAATTTGGCCATGTTCGAATTCTGTTAGCTCTGACATGATGCACTAAAAACAGCACAGAACACTGTCACCACAACAAATGAAGCTTGCAACATATTGCCGAGGTTGTACAGATAGTGATATTGGGCAGATGTTACAGCGTCACCTACAAACGTCACTAAAATAAACACTTCAATTCAAGCATTCACGAGCTGTTTCCATATTTTTGTCCATCCCCTGTACATACTGCTCTTCTTGATAATGGCTATTTACATATATTTCGTTTTTATGAGCTCATTCTTTTAGGAAGACAGAATAGTAAACTGATAGTGTAGTAGCAGAACTTGAAGGATCAACACTTCTAGTACTAAAGCACACAAATGGGCATTATCCTGAGGTAGTCCCACCTTACAGGAGCTTTTAAACTCTATGATGACAAGCATTTCCAAAATGTATTCTCCCAGTTTTATCAAGCCCTTTATTTCTCTTTATTTATGACGTTCTCACATACATTTCTTAAAAGTTTAGTATGGTTTACTGTGCTGCAGTTATGACTTTGATGCTGAATTTCGTTTCATATAGTGGTCATATATTTAGTTCTGTCATTTAATTCTAGACTGGGGCACACAGTAGTGAGGTTTGTTGAGGCACTGTGCTCCAAGCTGGAAGGTTGCAGGTTTGATTCCCTATGAGGCCATTGGATTTTTCAATTGACTGCAGCTGCACTATGGCCCTGGGGTCAACTCAGCCTCTAACAAATGAATACCAGGAATCTTCCTGGGGGTAAAAGGGCTGCTGGCACGTAAGGCTGACAACCTCACCACCATCTGTGAGCGAATTGCCTAGAGAAAATGTGGGAGCCTCAGTGTCTCACAACCCTATGGGCCTTCACACCCTGTTACAGAGATAGCTTTTCCTTTACCGTATCTAATTCTAGACTAATTACTTTACAGATCTGTAGAGGAATTTCTCCATTATTGGCCATTCCAAAATGATTGAAACAAAGGGCGTTATGCAGAAGTGGTGGGAAGAATTTTTTAGCTGATGATGGTAATTGGTAGAGTATATGTAATTGTACAGAATGCCAACAGATGGCAGGGCACAGTGCAAACAGCACCACATAACAAGCAGTTGTTTCAAATAGTGCTGAGTCATGTGTGGACACAATGGGAGATGATTATCAGGGGCAATGCTGGAGGGCGTTGTTTTTGTGGAAAGAAGGCATCCCTCTGGGTGACATTTATCGTTGTCTAACAGCAGTGTGTAAAGATGCTGCCCCTAGCTGTGCAACTATGTTTCAATGGATTCAAAACTTCAAGGATGGGAATGAAAGTGCAGAGAAGCGAGTAAGCACTGGACGTCCAAGAATGTCGCACTTCAGACATGATCCAGCAAATTTCCAATCTGATCATGCAAAGCAGGTGTGTGACTTCAGAGCAATTGCAGGCAGAGACAAGTTTGTGTCTAGCGTCACTTCGTTTGATTATTGGAGATGATTTGAAAATGAGGAAGCTGTGTTCACAGTGGGTTCCCCACAACCTGACTCAGCAGCAGGAGCAGGCCTGGATTGACAGCTGCAAGAAGCTGCTTGCACTTAATGATGCCAATCCAGCGAAATTTTTTGTTCGTCTGGTGACTGGTGATGAGACATGGTTCAGCTATGCCATACCTTAGGAGAAGCAGCAGACCATGCATTGAGGACATTATGACAGTCCTTGTCCAAAAAAGACTTGACCATCACTGACATGTGGAAAACAGCATCGGTCTTTTGGGACACACAAGGAATCCTGCTCATCGACTGGCTTCCTCAAGGTGCGACAGTGAACAGCAACACCTACTGTGACATTGTGACACGCCTCTGCTGCAGAATCCAGCAGCAGAGGAAGGACAGACGGGCCAAGAAAGTGTTCTTGTTGCACAACAATGCTTGCTCGCACTCATCCAAACAGACAGGGGCTCAACTGGATGATCTTGAGTACACGGTCCACCCACATCCACCTTGCTCTCCAAATTTAGCCCCCTCAGATTATGCTCTCTTCAACAAAGTTAAGGAGCCTTTAAGAGGCAAGACATTCACCAATGCAGATGCCCTGCAAGGGGCTGTCCAACAGTGGTGTCGCACCATGCCAAAAGACTGGTTCCAGGAGGCCATCGTGATACTTCCACAACAATGGTGTCGATGCGTAGAACTACAGGGAGACTATGTCAACCATTCCTGAAACTGCCACATTTCTGCTATGCATCATTGTATTTTAATCAGGTTAGTCTCAATCATTTTTGAATGGCCAAAATATTTATAGTTTTTTATTCTAGCCTAATAAATCAATATCATTGGGATAAAAAATGAGCTGGTGTATGCCATTCTAGTCCAATCCATTCCTTGAATCTCATGGACCGGTTAATGACATATTCCAGATTAAATTTAACAATCAGTGGAGTAAAGTTTAACCTTCCTTTAGCCCATTGTGAACTGGAAAGTTACTGCATAAGTGTAAACCTGTACAGACCCTGCTAGATACCTCATATCTGCATTTAATTACTTGAACAGTTTGCTTGGAGG